TGTGCCTTGCAGAATACAAAAGAAATTGGCCGTGAGCATGTGGAAAGTAAAATGGGTCTTGGTAAATGTGGACTCTAAATGAGTCCATCTTGGAATCCTCCAGGGTGTGATTTCCTTATTGCCAAGGTTCACCAAGAGGCTGGACAGGATTTGGCTGGGTCAGTGGAGACTTGGCAACTTCTTCCTCTCAACCAGTTGCCCAGTCTTGGAAACTATCAACCTATCCCCCAACAGTGGCAGGGAACCATTACCCCCAAGGGGGTCAAGTCCCAGCCGGTATGTGGTAGCTTCATATCATTCAAGGTCAGACATATGTGATTTAATTAACTCCCACAGCAAACCCTGTGAGGTGGTAGGTACAATACCAGCATTTCATAGATGTGGGTATTGAAGGTAGGTGAAGTCCTGGTTAGTTCTCTTCAAGAACAGCTTACAACTCAGCACATGCAAGAACTTGTTCCTCTCTCCTGACACTCCTCACAGTCAAAACCTCAAAAGCTAAGCTGGTGAATCCTAGCTCCCACCACCATCCCCAAAATACCAGTGCAAGTCAACTTCTTGTGTGGAACCTCAGGCCATTGCAAATGGCAGAGTTCTTGGTTCTGGGTATTTCTGAGGCACAGCAGAGGATTAAATAAAGAAGGAGGATGGGGCGAATGGGGAGGCTGTGGCTGGCAAACAGGAAGCAAAGGATGTCAGTCTGAATCAGGCCCCTCCCTCTTGAATATTAGTTTTTAATGATGGGCGGTAGACTGGCCCTTCTTGGACTTCTTGGTAGCTGGAGTGAGCTCTGCTCTCCCCTGGCTCCTTTTCAGTTTGGCTATCCTTGAGTTCCAAGGCCTCATTCAGCATTCAGAACAGCTCAAAATGCTCACACCCACAGATCTTAGGGATGAAATATTCACCATCCAGTGGCTTATGAAGGGCAGTCTTCTGACCAGAGTTGAGCTTGAGGTTTCTGGGAAAGGTTTCCTTGTTCCTAAAAGATTTGTATGAAGAGGTGGTTTTGTCTTGTGTTCTGATTATTGCTAAATCTGAATAAGGAAAATATGTTACCCTCAAGACCTGGGGTATAAGTGGTAGGGTCAGGGGCACCATGTAATGGCAGCAGGGTGAAGAGATAGGTGGGTTCCTTAAAGGTATTACTGAGTTACTAAAGTGACCAGTCCTACAACCTGCCCTTTTAGTTTCTTATGTGAGAACCTTTTGTTCTTTATGCTGTTTTGAGTTAAATTTTTCAAAGTAAGCTACCCAGTAAAGAAGTCAAGTTTAATTCCATTGTGGCTGGCAAACTGGATAAATAGTATTTACCTCATATTGAAATATTATGGGTGAAAGCCTCTTAGTAGTTATAAAGTAACTACTAATTTATAGTTATGTTACATTATTTTAAAATGGTATTTGCTTGTAGCCAGCAGAATACTGCAAAGAGAATGAAGATGTCTGTAGTTTCTGTTTACCTATTGTAATAATATTATGCAAGTCACCTGACCCTTTGATGACTACTCTGTAAAATCAGATTAGATGATCTTTAAAGTCTTTCATGACTTTGCAAAATGAGTCTGATTTTCTTTGGATTCCTGCCTGAAAATTCTGTGTAGGTTAAGAACATAGATGCAAATAAGTAACTTTTTTAATTAAAGAAATCATAATTTATAAAGCAAGTATATTATGGATGCTTTCAATTGCACAGTGGTTCTGCTTCATCTTAGTACTTAAGAGCAAGGGGAAACTCTTACTTACTGTGAATGTCAACTCTTGTAACTTTATACAGATTATAGGTATTTGCTTTTTTAACTCAATTTAGTGTAGCTTGTTCTGTATCAGTATGAGTATGTCATCAGTTTTCTTTTTCACACCATCTCATAATCTGTCACCTCCTTTTCCTCTGTCATGACCCTATGTCTGTTATTCTTAGCCGACAAGTAGGCACTTAAATGTTTTCCTTGTCACCAGTATATTTTTCTTATATCCTCTTTCTTCATTTATAAAATCTGGTAAAAGAAGATCATTTTTAAGGTGCTTTCTGGTTCTTAGGTACCATGACATATCACTTATTGTTCAGATTTGGTTTTGGCAGGGAGTGCTGGGGATTGAACCCAGGGCCTCATTAGTATATGCTGTACAACTGAGCTGTACCCCTGTTCCCTCAGTTCTTTTTTTTTAAATTAAATTTTTTTATTTAAAATTTTATTTTTGAGGTAAGGTCTTACTGTTACCCAAACAGGTTTCAAACCCCTGGGTTAAGAAATCCTCAGTCTTTAGCCTTCTGAGTAGCTGGGACTGCAGGCTTATGCCACTGTACCCATCCAATTCACTTTTTTTTTAATCCTGCTGAGAAGTTTGTTTATTCTGAATACCAAATATGTAGTGTCATTTCCACTAACACTTTTCTCTTAACTGCCCAATATCAAACCATTCATAAAATGAATGAATTCATTGCATTCTGACACTAGTATCTGGAATTAGTGTGAGACTTCAGGGTTAAGGAATCACTTTCACAAGGTTACCCTTTACCCAGCTGAAAGTACTAGGGCCCCTGCAGCTTCCCTAAACTTGTGTCACATTTGGCTACAAAGTTGGGAGTTCCCCCAACCAACTCTTCAGGTTTGATAATTTGTTAGAATGATTCACAAAATTCAGGAGAATACTTTGTATATATTTACCATTGCAGTTTATCATAAAGGATACAAATGAAGAACCAGAAAGCTCTGTCCCTGTGGAGTTGGGGTATGCCACCCTCTTGGCACTTGAGCGTTTGCTAGTTCAGAAGCTATTTGAACCCTGTTGTTTAGAGGTTTTTATGGAGTTTTCATTACATAGGTGTGCTTGATTAAATCACAGATTATTGGAGGTTGATCTCAATCTCTGGTTCCTTTCCCTTCCTCAGAGACTTGGGTAGGGAAGTAGTAGGGCTGAAAATCTCAACCTAATCATGGCTTGGTGACATACTCCATCCTGAAGCTATCTAGTTGCTCTACAGCCAAAAGTCATCTCACTAGCATATAAGAAAGACATTCACTCACCACTCAAGAGTTTTCAAGGGTTTTAATTCTGTGCCAAGAACTGAATATAAAAGCCAAGTATTTTTTCTTACACTACACCTTCTTGTTATGGTACAAGCTTGAAAGACTGATGGGAATTCAACATCCCTTTTAACAGAATGCTTGCTTTACATCATTGAGTTTCATATTTTCTTATTCAGTCTTCTTTGATTCATGTTGGCTCAACCAGGCACTAATTGCAGTTCATAATTGTGCTAATCAATCACCATGCAAGAGAATGTTTTCATCATATAACAATTTCAGATCCATGAAAAATTAAAGTTTTTCTTTATTTCAGGAATATTTAGAGAAAAAGTAAGAATTCTGAAAACGTTGTCCTACCTGGAATGATATATAAAATAGTGAGGCAAATCTGAGGGCGGAATAATTTTGGGAATAGGGTAGGCAGCCTTAACACTTTTCCGCATTGACCAGCTACAGTGCCATTCATTTCTAATTAATTTTAACTGACCTGTACCTCCTTAGGGAGTGCTTTTTGTACAGAAGCACTTATTCCCTTCCCCAGCATCTCTATCCTTAATCTTATCCTTAATTTTCATTAAAAGTTCAGGAAGGGCTTTACCTTTGAATCTCCGGATATTTCAAACTTAGATGGAGCTAGGAAAACTTATCCATGATTCTTTTTATTCCCGTAGTCTGTTCTGTACCACAAAGGTTTTGAATACAGTGAGACTGGGATGAGGTCAAAGTATGGAACATAAAGCAGTTGTTTTCAGGACTTGTTTGGGAAAGATTTGGGTATTTTTTCATGGATATTTTGTTGGAGTTTGTTGTGGACCTACTTGAATATCCCTTGCACTGCCTCCTCCACATCCTACACTGTGGCTGTAGCTTTTTGGTGTTTTTTCTAATTGTCTTGGCGGTCAGTATTTCCCCACACTTCTTGGGGTAGAAGAGGAGGAAAAGGTTGAAGTTAAGAGAGGGTCATGGTCTATGAATATATGACTACTATAAAGACTTCTAGATAGTTTTTAGTCACTCGTGATTTTAATAGTTACAGAGTGTTAACATGTACATTTCTGTATACCTGCCATTGCCAGTCTCCTTCATCTCTTCCTTCAAAAGGATAAGCAGTATTTTTCTTTTTCTTTTTTTTTTTTTTTTTCAGTAATTCTCAAATAATGTACTTAATGGAAGGGTCATGAAAGTTTTTTTGGTGGTACCAGGGTTTGACCTCAGGGCCTCATGCTTAGTAGGCAAGTAGGTACTCTACCACTTGAAGCAAAAAATTACCTGACCTTCATTTTTTAATATCTTTAATATTGGTTTTTATATGTTGAAGTTCTTTAGGTTTTTAAATGATAAAAGCTTGTCAAAAGCAATTTGTTATGTCCTGTTTTCTTTTTTTTTTTTTTTTTTTTTTGGCAGTACTAGGGTTTACACTCAGGGCCTCATGCTTGCTAGGCAGGTGCTCTATCTACCACTTGAGCCACTCCATCCGCTGCACTGTTATTTTTTTATGGACTGAAGTAGTACTGAAATAGTTTTTAACAATAACCTGTAATTCATATGTTATTAAAATTTCTGCTCTGTATGTAAAATATATGAATCTTTTAAATTCTTTCCTGCATGCCTGGTCAGTTACTGCTGTCAGGTATCCTCTTTTTAAAATAACTTTTTAAGTCTTAGTTATTACTAGGGGGAAAGTAGCATTTTTGACTGTAGAGGAAAGAAGAAAACACTTGAACTATTTAAAACCAGGCTTGATGAAATTACACTACTGCTGAATGAATTAACACTAATCTTTTACATAGAGCTGCTATGCAAAAGTATGTCTTTATTTCTTTTAACATTTCAATTAGAATAAACTAAATTTTGTTTTTGTAAATAAAAATGTTTTCGAATTTCTCAGTGAAGAAATAAAAACACAGCTGATTAGCCAATGTATATTTTGATTTGCATTTTCAATACTTTTTGTTATTCCTTCCCAAACAGACCCTCCTTGAATATGCAGAGAAATGGAAAACTTCAGAAGATCCTTTACCTTTATTGGAGGTATACACAGTGGCTATCCAAAGTTATGTTAAAGCTCGACCTTATCTTACCTCTGAGTGTGAAAATGTAGCATTGGTTCTGGAACGCTTGGCATTGTGAGTAGACCTTTGAAAAGTAAATAAAAAACCATATGTAGCTTTTCTCTTAAGCATTTTATCAGTACTTATGGTAATTTAACTTAAAATAGATTTGTTATAGGGAGACTACTGATGATATTAGAATTACTGGTTTTAATTTACTTGGAATTTTAATAACTATTTGTATCCTTACCAACTTTTTGTCTTTTAGAAGCTGTGTTGAACTTTTACTGTGTCTACCTGTTGAGTTATCAGATAAACAGTGGGAACAATTTCAGACACTGGTACAGGTGAGAATATTTACCTGTTAGATTTAATATCAGTGTATCTTACGTCATTTTTCCTTATTCTTAAAATTTTTTGGCTAAACTTTAAAACATCTGAGTAATGACATACAATTTCTGCTCTGATTAACAATAGTATTTTGTATATTGTAGATAAATGTTTGCTAAATGAACATGCACATTTAGATAGACTGGATGAATATTTCACAGTTCATTAAAATCAAATAATTAGGACTTTGACAGAGCAGTAAGGGAAGACAAAAGAAAATGCCCTCATTTGAATATAGAAACCATTTAATTGTTTAAGGTCTACAGTATGATTTATAACAATAACGTCTCATTTAATTCTTTGAAAACTTTTGAGGGTAGGTATATTTCCCCTATTTTGAAGGTGAGGAAACTGAGGCTCATATTCTAAAATAATTAGCAGTTCAAACTTAATACAGCTAACATTACAGAATAGTTATTTGACCAGGGTTCCATATTCAAAGCGTATGTTTTTCCTCATATCTGAAAACACATGCTTTGTCTCATTTAGTACAGTTTTTTATATTTATACTATACAATTTAGCATGTAGTTCCTTTAGAGGATTTTATTTCAAGCACTAGATTGTGCTGCCTTCCTGTATTACTGCTCCTTTCCTTCCCTCCCCTCCTTTCCCTTGCCTTTCCCTTGCCTTTCCCTTCTCTCCTCTTTCCTCAGAGTTCTTAAATTATTTTTAGACCATAAGTTTCTCTGTAACAAATATTTCAAAGAGGGGGTTAGCCATAAATTTTAGAGGCACATAAAGGTATAGCTAGGCAGAGAAATCAACTTTTCTACTTTAATATTAAACATTAAAGTCTATATCCAGTGCAAGGTCCCTGAAGGTGTAGAATTCCTATCTTATTTGACACCGTAGGATTCCACATAGTGTCTTACACATAATAGATGCTTAATAACTGTTTGTTGAAATGGAAGTGTCTTGTCCTGTTTGTCACATTGCACTAACCTTTTGATCATGCATTTTCTACTTTAACATATTAGTAATTTGTCTCTTAGTTTTGTCCCCCTACCCTCCCAGCAAGCATTTATTTTTAAGTAAATAATTATTTCAAAACTTTTCATTGTTTGGCATTCAGATACACCCCACCACCAAATTAAATACGTTGTTTATTCACAAACATAATACTGAGCTCCTTATACTACTGATTTTTGTTTGCTAACATATTAGATAAACTTTAACTTCTGAAACAAAAGCATTTGTTGATCCTTTTTCATATAATAGCAGCAGAATTTGGGGAGAAGCGGAAGGGTGCTCAGGATCAAACCCAGGGCTTTTGTACATGTTAGGCAAAGACTGTACCCCTGAGCTATATCCCTAGCCCTGGGAAGTAATTTTTAAATCCCCATAAATCCAGCAAGTGCTTAAAAAAAACTTTTCTTTTTCTTTTTCTTTTTTTTTAAATGGTTTTGAGGAATTATCTTTTTGCTTGAACATAACTTATAGCTTTAAGTGTTTCCATGACACTTTGTTCTCATTTTAGAGCTTCTTCAAGGTTAATTTATACCTGCTTTATTTCCCCTGTGTTTTAACTGTTAAAACCTTATTTTATCCCACTAGCAGAAGAACTAGCCACATAAAGACAAGAACTGATTGCTCTCTTCCCCAGTAGTTTGTTCATAGAAATTCTAAATAAACATTTTCTGAATTGAATTAAAACTATTGGGTCTTTTATGGATTGAAGAATCTGCTGATTGTGTGAGTACTTGGAAACAACTAGTAAGCAAGGTTCAGAAACATCTCATTTTTTTTTATAAGTCCCTTTTATTGGAATACATGTAAGTTGTCACTTAGGCCATGATTTAGTTCTTTTTATTAATCGTGAAAGATTTTGAGGAACATTTTTACTAAACTAGAAGATATAAAATGCATAAGGTCTTTTATGCTTATGAATATTCTGATCACTTCCTTAAGAAGTAACTTTACTCTTGGTTTAGATTAACTAAGGGAATTCAGCACTTTGTAATGTGATCTGAAATTTTTAAGATAAAAGTCTTTATTTTTCAAAAGTTTAGTATTATATTTAAAACCTGGTAAGCTTGCTTTAAAAAATCTGTTGTAATTCTTTGGATGTTTATTTAATATTTATAGGTAGCTCATGAAAAGCTGATGGAGAATGGCAGCTGTGAATTGCAATTTTTAGCTACTCTAGCTCAAGAGACTGGGGTGTGGAAAAACCCGGTACTGTGCACTATACTTTCCCAGGAACCATTGGATAAGGATAAAGGTAAATTTTCTAGAGAGAGAGAAAAACAATCGTTAGACTAGAAAAAAGCATATATAAAATTGTTTGAATATAATTCATCTCAAGATATCCCAAAGAAGGCCCATTTAATTAAATTTCACCTGAGAGACTCAGTGCCCTTTACCTTATTTTATAGAGGGGAAGATGTATTTATAGATTTTAGAATCTTAGAATAACAGAAAGAACTGGAATTTTTTTCTCAACAACTTTCAACAGAGGAGTTTCCTCTGCAGCATCTTGACAGGTGGCAATGTAGGTTATGTTTGAAGATTAACTTATTTGACAGATGGAGAAGCAGAAATATGGTAATTAAATGACTTCCTCAAAATAGAATAAGAAATCAGTGCTATAACTCAAGTCTTCTGTCTTTAAGATTAGTACTCTTTCCCAGTTTTACTGTGCTTTGATGTTACATGAACTCAGGCAATAAAGATCCCAGTTAAATTCAAACTGTCAAGTTTCTTATTGAGAGTAGATGACAAGTCACTAATATATAAATCAGTATTTAGAGTTTTAAATTACATATACCATGATGAAAAGCACAGTTGTCTTCTAGGTGCTTTTCCTGAGATACTTTAGGAAATTGTGCCCAGATTTCATCCTAACCTTTCCTCAGGTATTTAACTAGAGAAGTAAACTTAGAAAACTAACATGCAGTGCCAAAAAGTGTATAGTGTATAGTGTGATAAGCCACTAACTACTTCTTCCATTATTTATTGCGGCTTTTCTCATTGACTGATGGTAAAGAGTAGATAATTACTATGTTACAGCAAGTTCTGAAAGCCATGATAAAGAAATATTAAGCCACTTGTTTGTACACTCTTCTGATACTTTGATATTTACCAAAAAACTTTACAGCCCATCTCCAAACTTTTTTTCAGGCCAGTGGTCTTCCTGTCTTCCCTTTCTGCCATTTTCTCCTTGCTTTCTGATAGTTCTTGCAATATTACCCATTTCTTCCCACAAGAAGTTTATTTTTACCATCTCCTTCATATCCACGTAGGATATCCATGTAGTTGATACAAAAGACCTTAGAGAAATGGAAAATAGATTCACATTACTTAAAATAATAATAATAAATTTAAAAGTGGAGAATCTTAGATTTTTTGCCACTGACATTAGACTTATCCCTAGTAGATTAACACACATTTATTTTATTTCTAATAGCAAATACTACTTTCTAATCTCAACTTTTGGAAATACTGATTGTGTATATTAAGAGTAATACCAAATTACATTGTATATATAGTTCCTAACGTGAAAATTTACATGTGTGATTTAATTTCGCCTTCACAATGATTCTATAATAAAGGTGGTTCTTGTCCTTTGTCCCTGTTTTACAGATGAGTAAATGAAGGCTCAAAAAAAAACCCAAAAAGCTGTCTTTTCCATATCACTTTAAAAGTGATGAGAGGCAGAGCCAGGAATTAGTCAGGCCCTCAACTTCTCCCTTCTGATATTATGCCCTGTTGCACCTTGTCTAATAAATACAGTTATAGCTAACCTGAATGAAGGATTAGTGTCTCTTTTCCATTGTCAATTGTTTTGACAAAGGAATAGGAGTCTCTCCCTTATCAGGGGTTTAAACTTTATTTTTTAAGAATGTACTCAATTTCCTTACTTGTTTGAATGTGTCTAACATTGTATCTGTTAACACGTCTCTGCCCATCTCTTTGCTGCTTTATTTCTTGATCGTCACCTGACAGAGCTACTGGAATAATTTGGACTATGCAGACAGGAGGAATTTCTACAATGTAGATGGATTGTAGGTAGCCAGATTCTACTACAGCTCATGAAGCAATTAGAGAGTTACATGATTTGAGAGAGTCTGCAGTCATAATCTTTACTTAGTCCTCTAGTATTTAGAATGCTGCTTTGGTGATTAATCACAAAAAACACATGTGTGTATTTATTTCCTTTTAAAAATTGAAGGAATTAACTTTGGCATCAACAATACAAATTTATTTGCATTCTCCAATGTGGTGGTACAATGATGGGGAACGTCTAGCTCTTATATTCTATATCTGGCCTAAACAAAGTATGAAGAGAAGAGTAAGAGCTCAGAGCAAAATGAGTATGCTTTTAAAGGCTGTACTCATTAGTTTGTTTGTAGTGAAGCCTTTGAAGTTTTCAAGAAGTATTTTAACAATGGTAATCCTACTAAATTCCAACTAAACGAAGAAATGCTCTTTGATTCGGAAGAGCAAAGGTAGATGGGACTCAAAATTCCAGATGATATGGTTTCAATTTAAGGTTTTAGTATTCTACAATGAAGTAACTCTAATAACAAACCAATGTTAAGTCAATTAGATAGTTCTGAATATCAGAGGAAGTTTAGACTTAACATACTACTTGTGTCTTAGTCATAACTGGATTGGAAAGGCAGTTAACACTCAATTATTTGTCATCCACTTTTTTCTTTTTCAGTTCATTTTCTTTTTTTATACTTTATTTTTATTGTTGTTGTACTCGGGGTACATAGTGATCTTACAGAACTTTTTACAATATATCATAGTTGAATTCACCCCCTCCATCATTCTCCTTTATTCCCCTTCCCCTATCATTCAGTTTTAACTCTCCTCTAAAACATCACTGAAAAGTCATATCTCATGCTTGTAGAGAATGGTAACTATGTAGGACAGTCCATTCTTAGTCTATTATGAAAAAATATTCATTGTGAAAACTACGTTTGTGAAGTTTCCATTATTTAGATGTTTTGTTCTTTCCCTGTAGCTATAGCTAACACAGTATACATCCCCTTTTACTTGAGAGCAATCGAGATTTTAAAAAGCCACCATCATATATATCCATGCTTGGTCTTTTTACTGAACCTTCTGGGTGTGGTATGATTTTAATTCTGTAATCATGATTCCCTACCTTCAAGTGCATTTTTATGTTTCTTACTATCTTTTTGTTGTTGTTTTCTAGGGTTTGAATGCAGGGCTTAACACTTGTTAGGTACTGTCCCTCTTGAGCCATGCCTCTAGCCCTTTTTGCTCTAGTTATTTTGGAGATAGGGTCTCACTTTTTTGCCCAGGCTGGCCTGAACCACCATCCTCCTATTTTATACCTCTTGCTTTAGCTGGGATGACAGGTGCATGCCACCAGGCCCAGCTATTGGTTTAGGTGAAGTTTCAAACATTTTGCCCAGGCTGGTGTCATACCACGATCTTCCCAACCTCAGCCTCCCAAATAATTAGGATTATAGACGTGAGCCACTGGTGTCTATCTTTTTGTTCTTTTTAATGTGTAATTGTCAACACTTAATCTGTATCTTAAGTGTGATCTGGTGAGCTTTCGGTTAGTGATACCCTCACCCCTTTCATTCTAACATGTTAGTATGACCCAAAATGATACTACCTTTTTGGTAGCCATATCTTTCTCACAGCTTTTTTTGCATGAAAAAAAAGATTAACTACTACTCATATTTTCCAAATTTACATTTTAATACTTTTTTTCTTTTGTTCCACCAGTTTATTTTTTCTGTGTAATTCACCATATTTCATCGTTATCTCTTCCCAACTTGTCAAGGTCCTTTTGAATCTTGTATTTTGTTATTCAAGGTTTTTGTCTTTCTCAGTTTCTTCTCATTAGCAGACCTTATTAGCATATACCCTGTTGACTTCCTGATCTTGATTATAACCATAAAAAAATCATGTCCAGTTAGGTACAGTGATGCACCTCTGTAATGTTAGCAACTGGATAGCTGGAGCAAGAGGAGCTCTAGTTTGAGGCCATCCTGTGCTATATAGCAAGTTGTAGGCCAATTTGAGGTACATAACAAGACCATCTCAAAAAGCCAAGAACTAGGAATGTAGCTTAGTGGTAGACCATTTGCCTAGCACATGCTAGATCCTGGTTTTGATCCCAACACCACTTAAAGAAAAGGTCACATATAGAAATTAAGGTCCCTTAGATACTTAAGTAATCTACTTATCTTCAGTCATTTTATTCATATTCTTTTATTACTATTGTTTTACCAAATACACTTATTTTTTCCTTTTGGCCCTCAGTTGTCAATTTTTCTTTAGAAGGATTTGATGAAAGCCTATAACCAGTGTTTACAGTTCTCTTAAGTAAGAATGTTGCAATATTGAAATTAGTTTTATCTAATTTATTATTTTTTAATTAAGCCTTTTGTTTTAGAACAAATTTAGATTTATTCTGTAATAATTATGAACCATTCCCATATATCCCACACTTAGTTTTCATTATTATTAACATCTTAATGTTAGTATGGTACATTTGCCACAATTAATAAATCAGTATATGGATACTTTGTTATTAACTGAGTCCAGACTTTATTCAGATTTCCTTAGTTTTTACCTAATGTCCTTTTTCTGTTCCAGGATCCCATCCAGGATACCACATTACATTTAGTCGTCATGTCTCCTTAGGCTCTTCTTGGCTGTGACAATTTTTCAGACTTTCCTTGTTATTGATGACCTTGACAGTTTTGAGGAGTACTGGTCAGGTATTTTGTAGAATGTCCCTATTTGGGATTTGTCTGATGTTCTTCTCATGATTAGACTGGGGTTATGAGTTTTGGGGAAGACCACATAGGTAAAGTGCCACTGTCATTACATCATGTCAAGGGTACATACAATGTTAACATGACTAGTAACTGTTGATATGAACCTTGACTGCTTAGCAGAGGTAATGTGTCAGGTTTCTCCACTATAAGGTTAACCACCCCTACTACAACCACCACCATGCTGTATTCTTTAAAGGAAATTACTATAATCCAACCCACTCCCTCCTTGAGGGAGTAGTATCTACATTAGTTGTTTAGAATTCTGCATAGGAGATTCATCTCTTCCCTGTTTATTGATTTACTCAGTCATTTATTTATGTTAATACGGACTCAATGGATATTTATTTTATAGTTTGGTCATAATTGAATACTCTGTTTTGTTGCTCAAATTATTCCAGCTTTGGCCAATGAAAGCTCTTTCATTTAACTACTGCTTTCTCTTGATACA